ATATATTATATATATTTTTATTATGATAAACTATATTAGGCTTAAAATTAATTAGTTTTCTACTTTCTTTCAAAATAATTGGTACAAGACCTAGTAATTTATATTGGTTGAGCTAGTAAGGATTTTAAGAGTTTTATTGCCCACATCGAAGTAAGTAATTGCTATTTATTAAAAGAAAAACATATCATTGGTTGTTTGAGGTGTTATCCTTGCTATTTATATTAGATTCCTAGTTAATTGTAGTTTTTCGATTCATACCCTTTAAATTATATTTAGTATACAAAAAAATGGTCTGCACAATTGAGGGTCAGACGATCAAAAGGCCACCCATGTCGACCAAGGACACATCCACACCAATGACTGGTCAAAGGTCTAACACCCAACAACCTCACAACTATCAATGTAAAGCTCTCTCAACAGCTTCCTCAAAGATCTCTGAAGGATCACCAAGGAACAATAATCAGGCTAGTCGACCGATCGACTACCATACTTAAAACTGACTGACTTCCCAGAGCGAAGGCCGGCCGATGTCCAGACAAAAAAGTCGATCGACGCAAGCTTAGTCGACCGGTCCAAGGACTTGATAAGTAGAAGTTCAGACACACTAAAAGACAAATAGCATAGTAAAGTGGTTTTGAATACAAAAAGGTGCCACATAAGTTGTAACAGACATATTAAAGCAAAAGCAAACATGTAATTTTACACTCTGGCCATCAAACTTCTATAATTAGGGAATCTATAGCATATGACGGGTTTTTACCCTTTTGGAAATTTTATGCCCTTCTCTCTAGACTCATCTTCTATAGTGAGAACTCTCTCCCCTTCTCTGTAACCGCCAGTTGCAAAATATAAGATGGGTCATAGAGCTTGAGAATACCTCATTCGCCCATACAATGCACGTTTTTGTGCACTCTCTAATTCTCTCTCCCTCGTTGTCTCTCTCTACCACTTCCTCATAGTTCCCACCACTCTAATCCTTGGAAATGCATCACAAGGCAATCTGGATTTTATATATATATATACACACATATACATACACATACATACACACAATAACGACAACAACAAGCCTTTATCCCACAAAGTGAGGTCAGCTACATAAATTTTTTTTCTCCATTTTGTCATATTGAGTGTCATATCTTCATTTAATTCTAACAAATTAAGCTCATTTTTTATGCAATATGCCCAAGTCTTTTTAGGTCTAGCTTTGTCTTTCCAAACATAAATCAAATCTAAAACATCTAGTCTCCTAATTGAATCATCAGATGGTTGATGTTTAATGTGACCAAACCATCTAGGACAACTCTCTCTAATCTTATCCACCACTGGAGCTACTCAAACCCTATCATGAATCCACAGAAATATTCATTTCACATTTTGTCAGATATATTCATTTCACATTTTGTCTTTAAATGTCAAGCCACTCATCTACCTAATCATTCTCAACTCAGCAACACTTAACTTAGTTTTATGCTTATCTATTAAAGGCCAACATTCTACGCCATAAAGCATTGTAGGTCTCACTACCATCTTATAAAATTTTTCTTTCTATCTAAGCGGTACTTTTCTATCACACACTAGGTCTGATGCATTTCTCCACTTCAATCAACCAACTTAAATTCTACTAATAACATCCTTAGCTATATCAACATCACTTTGAACAATAGACCCGATATATCTAAAACGTTCACATCTTTTAATGATTTGATTATCTATAGTTACAACTCTCTCACTAGAGCTACTCAAACCTAAATTACATTCCATGTATTCAATTATATTTCTACTCAAAAAAAGGCCTTTAGACTCCAATGTAGCCACCAAAATTCAAGTTTTTTCTGAACTCTTTCTCTAGTCTTATCTACAAGAAGGATATCATCAACGAAAAACATACACTAAGGTACATCCTCCTGTAAATGTCAAGTAAGTGCATCCATACTTAGAGAATTCATAACTAAAGCTAAAAGATAAGAGCTTAAAATCGATCCCTGATGTAATCCAACTACAAGAGAAAAATAATTGGTCAATCCTTCTTCTATTTGAACATAAGTAACAGCTCTAGCATACATATCCTTAATGACTTGAATATAGATCATATCAACACCTGTCCTCTCTAAACTCTCTAAAGGATTTCTTTTGGAACCTTATCGTAAGCTTTTTATAAACAAAATCATATGCTAAAAAAAATCTAATAATGTTCTACCTTCTTCATTAATCACTACAAAACTGTAGCCTCAATGAATATTTCTAAAATCTTCTACCACTCTACCAACATGTCTATTTAAATCTTCTCTAATAAAAAATTCTTTCTTTAATAGATATCATTTGTATAAATTCTTTTAAGTCATCCCAAAATTTTTCTTTAGAACCTATATCTAAACTTACTTGAGGAGCATAAGCACTTAAAATATGAAATCTCTTAGTACCAACACCAATCTTAAAAGTTATAATTTTATCTCTAATTATATTAATTTTTACAACATTATCTTTTGAACTCTTATCTATAATTAACACTACACCATTTCTAGTATGACTCCTACCTGAATACCAAAATTTAAAACCCAAGCAATCAATCCCCTTAGCCTTTTCTCCAACTAATTTAGTTTTATTAATGCATAATATATTTATCTTCTTATGAATCATAATATCAATTAATCTCATTAATTTACCTGTGCGAATACTTGTATTCTAAGATCCTATCTTAATATTATTTTCATGGACCAACTTACTTACCTGAATCAGGTCGTAATGTGGAAATTTATGTTAATTTGACACTACACTCGGTCGTCGATGTAGCGGTCCTTGCACACAATTCATTGTAGTTAGGTCATATAGTGCTCACTTACTGAGATGCCCTAACATTTTCATAAGGATTTAAATAATTAATTTCATGATTTCTTAATAATGATTATGGACCAGCTAACACAACCCTCTACTTTTTCAAATTCCCTTAGAAAATTTGAACAAAAGTATTTTTTTTCGGGGTTTTTATATAAGTGAAAGAAAAAATACCTAATAAAGGAAAAATTATTCCATACGAATGCATGCGGTGTCCGATCTTCACTGCTCATTAGGGCTGTCAATTTGGCTCGTTGTTCGCGAACAGCTTGTGTTCGGCTCATTAAGTAGCTCGTGTTCGACTCGTTCGTTAAGCCTAACGAGCATTTTTTAAGCTCGAAGTGTAAACGAGCCTAACACGAACAACAGTTTGTTCGCTCGTGTTCGGAAATGGCTCGAAAAAAATATATATATATAACTTTTTATATAACAATGTATTACATATATTATTTATATAATAATATATTATATATATTAATGTCTAAGTTTTAATCATAATATTTCATGTGGCAATGTGGTTAGTATATTCTTTTGTATAGATTTGATCCAGGTTCGAATCTCACACTTGACATCTATTTTTCTCAATTTTAGTTTAACGAGCCAATTTCGAGCCGAACACGCACACGAACACAAATATTTTAATTGAGCCGAACACGAACACACTGTTCGCGAGTCAATTTCAAACACAAGCCGATTTCAAACACGAGCTATTTCGAACGAGCCGAACACGAGCCAAGCTCATCACCATAAATATGTATTTTTATGGGCTCCATTTTTTTTTTTTTTTAAGACCCACGGAAATACATATTAAATATGATGAGAGGGTGAGATCGGACACGAAATGGTGTTCGTATGAAATTATTTTAAAAGGATTGAAGAGTTAAGAGAGAAGTTCGCAACCGCATCATCACTTCTGACTGCCGGAAAGTTATTGGAGAAACAAATCTATATGCCGCGCATTTCCTTCGAGTAGTTTGACTTTGTTAGGCCGGCTACGGGGAGGACGCGTTCGAATTCCTCCAACTGGACGAATCCGCTGTGATGGACATCGCCGACGGAGATCATGACGACAATGCCATTCATGTCAGAGGCAACAGGAAAGCAGGAGAAGGATACGATTATGAAGGTTTTATCTGCTGCTCTGATGAGGTTTGGGTTTTTTTCGATCTTTCACATTCTGAATGATTCGAATGCCATTCAAAAGGCTGGAACGGAGGAAGGTCCTGGCGATATGAAAATGGCGAATATCACTATTCCGGTAGAAGCACTTCATCTGCAAAACGAAGGATGGGCATTTTCTCGACATTCCCGGTGAGCCGCACTCTCAATGGAAGCCACATCCATTGGAGAACGGACATTCAAGCTTGGAGAGCATCATCCCCTTCTCCATTTGATATCCGATAGCAACTCCCGTCCTATTTTGGGCGGCTTGCTCGCTAGTCACCAAAAACTCCCATCTGTGGCACTCTCTACTCTCTCCCATTTTTCCATTTTTCTCTGGTTCCGCTACTCTCCGCGCAGCAAATATACATAAGCGTTCTCTTCATGTCTCCGTTTGTTTTTTCATTATTTTCTTTTTTGGCGTGCATCTTCACCGTGAAGATATTAAACGCATGTAATATGTTTTCCTGTCCGCGCGACTTCCTTCTACCTATGCCTCGTTTCTCTCCTAACCGAGTAGCTCGCCGCCTCTCTCTTCCGCTTTCGCACAGTTACTTGCTCGATCGTCTTAGTCCCAGTGCCGGCACCAACTGCCAGCTACTGATCCTCTATTATTCTATCCGCCTGCACGCAGCCCTCATTTCCATGGTTCTCTACCTCTATGCAGCGGATTCACACTCTTACCCGCTACTCTCCAGACCGAAACTCTCTTCCACATAACCCTTCACCCACTGTTGGCCCATCTCGACGTTGCCGCTTCAAGTTAATTTCGTTCGTCAGAGGTCTACTCTCAGCTGTTATGAGGAAACTTAGCAAGTCCGAGGAGAAGGGATCTGGAAGTGCTACTCGGCACCATCAAACACGTGGAGAAGAGTTTTGGATGTGCTACTCGGCACCATCAAGCACGTGGAGAAGAGCTGTGACTCAATCTTTATGTGCGACTCGAGAACGAAGTCTGAGTTATGTAAGCATATATTATTCGACCTTCTTAAGGGAAAACTGGATATTGAGGTGAGAATCAAGTGTAGGGGTTTTTTTTTGTATGATTTTGATTTCAAGCTGTTGTATGGTGTTCACCATTACACTTCAAAGGGGCCGCGGGGAGGAGGTAAGTTTTTAGCTCTGGTGAATTTCAAGATTTATTTTAAACTTGCTGCAAAGGAAAAATAAAAATGTGAAATCAATGGAAAATTCAAACCAGATCTTAATTCTAAGCAGCCAATGACTCCTATGGAGATGTTGAAATTCATAATAATGCGGAATAAATTGGAATAATTCGTTCGTTTCATTGATATGAACGGGGGTATAAATAACCATTACAAAAATCCTATAATAAGAAGAAATAATAAAAAGAAAACGATATGAAAGGAAAGATATATAACATGATATCTTCAATAATTAATTCATATTAATTGATATTAATTATTAGAAGATATAAGAAATAACATAAAATAGAAAAACAAATAATTCCTAATATAAGGAAATAAATATAAAATATGAAAGAAAATATCTTCTTATTCTAAGGAAATAATTTATCTCTCCTATTATAATTCTAAAAACTCTCTCTCAAGTTTGGAATGTATGTTAATAATTTCTAATTTGTTGACTAGTGAATAAAAAATGATCGTTTGAATTATCGAATTTGTTAGATTCAGGGTTGACTGAATTTTGAGTTTTGTTTGCCATGTGTTTCGGCGTAGAAGAGAGATTCAGACTTGACTGAATTTGTTAGATTCAAACTTGGCTGAAGTTTGAGTTTTCTCTGTCATATATTTCAGCGTAGAAGAGAGATTCAAACTTGACTGAATTTTGAGTTTTGCAAGGAAATAGACAACCTACAGCAAAACTAACTTTTAGTTGATCATGGTTGTCGTTTGCTGCAGAGAAAACATGTAAATCACACCCAGTAAATTCTGCTGACAAAGAAAACAACAGAAGAAAGGGCGGCTGAAAACAGAGCTCCCCTGACGCTTGGGTCAAGGAAGAAAAAAATACTGCATGAGAAAGGACCGGCTGGAAACGCAGCTCCCCCAGCGCTTGGGCAGGGAAGAAAAAAATAATGCAGGACAAATGGCCCGCTAGAAATGCAGTTTCCTCTGACGCTTGGGGAGGGAAGAAAAAAAATACTGTAGGAGAAAGGGTTGGCGATGGATTTTGCCTGCATTGTTCGATCCACGACAGTGTATCTTCGGCGAGATGATGATGAGGTGGGTGATGTCATCACTAGTGCTGCCCTGGCCGGAGTCCCATCACTGGTGCCAACATAAGAGGATACAATGCAACAAGTTTTTGAATGGTTTGTGGTGATGTTTGACCAAGCTCCAAAGCATGTTACTATCATGGTTTCTTGGGAGCCGTGTACTGAAGTGAAGTAAAATCCTCTGATTTTATGAAAGTCCTCGAAAAAGGAGAATCCTCCAAAACATCAACCCGTGCATTTCCAGGCGATGGCGGTGGCAACAAGCTTCTAGTCGGATCCGAAAAGTTAGGAGTGTGATGCAGATGGTTCCTCCCCATCATTGGTTGCGGTATGCTGACAAGAAGTCTCTGATTGCAATCTATCATGCAAGGCAGCCGCGTAGGAGACGCCGAGAACCGAGGCGAGAGCCGATACTCCTCAAAATTGAAGCTACTATTCCTATGACCAGATTTGTATCCATTGAAATCTCTTCGTTGAACACGATTAATCGGTGAAATCGATAACTTGGGTGAAAACCTACGGTGCGTAAGGGGGCTAACATAGCCCTTGTGAAGGCTACGACTCGATCTATATAGTTCATCATATCGATACTTGGGGCAATTGTTATAGTAAGTTCGTCATGCAAAATTCAGATTTCTGCACGACGGATTCTGGCATATGCAGTCACCTTCCCTTGGTGACAAATTTGGATCATTTTTGTGGACAAACTCTCCTCCATACGAGAACATTATATGTGTGGTTGAACCGATCCCTCTCGTGTATGGTTTGCCGCCCCTCTCAAAGGTAGGGGTGAGAAGTCGCGAAACCTGCCACCTCCTCCTCTCCCTCGCATTCCACGACCTGAATGTGGTCCGCGAGGGTGCCTAAAATCTGGTTCAAAATAACCATCATCCACCCATGCGGCGGTGAAATAAAACCTAGACGTTGTATGTGCCCTAGATCATTCAGAAACCTTTGAGATCGTGGATGGAACGCCAACGGGGAGCCGTGATGTCGAAGACCAATAGCATAACCACGACGTTGTAGACCAAGTTGGGGCGCACGGTGGCGGAGTCCGTTGGGAAACCTCCGACGATGCAGCGACGAGTAGCCCCCACGGCATCATCTGTACGATGGAGAATCACGGGGATGAACATCTTGCAGAGAATTAAGTCAGCGCTGATGCGGCGGGGAACTGCGATGGAGATCATTGGTGTCATATCCGATTTCAAGATCACTCTCTCCGCCATTGCTGGTTGGAGGCTTGACGACCATGCTGTTGAGGTTGACGCCGATGCGTGGACCCGGAGATGGCGATAGGGATAGTGCCTCTGGTTCGAACTCCGAGGCAGCATCGAGATCGAATTCACGGGAGCGCATCTTTATGATTCTTTCCATGGCTTCTGTAACCTAGCGAGGTGGCGGGGAACTAGAGATTTTGAGAAGAAGAAAAAAAATCATTGTTTCAAATATCAAGATGAGTGTCCCTCCCTTCCTGCACAGAGGATGACAGGAAGGGAGTTCGTCAATTCTCTAAGGAAGACTGGTGGCTAGAGTACGAAATTAGGCTCTGATACCATGTTTAAATTCAAAATAATGCAGAATAAAGTAAAATATTTAATTGTTTCATTGATATGAACGGGGGTATAAATAATCCTTACAAGAATCCTATACTAGGAAAAAAATAATAAAAAATAGACGATATGAAAGGAAAGATATATCACCTAATATCTCTAATAATTAATTCTTATTCTTATTAATTATTAAGAAATATAAAAAATAACATAAAATAGGAAAACGAATAGTTTTTAATTTAAGAAAATAAATATAAAAAAGGAAAGGAAATATCTCCTTATTCTAAGGAAATAATTTATTTTCTAAGGAAATAATTTATTCCAACTTCTTATAAAAATAAATTATTCTCTATTATAATTCTTAACAAGAGAGATGATGATCAGTTCAACCCAGACACAGGGAATCTCGGTAGCGTGGGGAAGCCGACTATCCTACAACATGCTTATGAGAAGGAAAGGGAAAGGAGATTCATCCTACGATGTGAGTTTGTGTTTCCAACTACTTGGATGTGAGTTGTCACTGTAGTTGGAAGAGTAATTGGAAGAATGGTATAAAAACAAATGAGAACTCCATCACATGGCGAAATATAAGTACCCATGTTTGTGATACGAAAGGAAAAGTTTGTTGTATTTTTTTATATTTTTGTACTAATATCAAAGAAATGCATGATTTTTTAAGTGTGACAATTTTATGTCCTGCTCATCATGTTGATGACGTGAAAGAATTATATTATAAATGTGTATATTTCAAATGACTTTGATCGGATACCCTATGGATCAAAGCGATTATGAGCAAGACTCGAGCTATCAATTAGAATAAATGAAGACATCCCAAGGATAGGACCTTACTGAGCCACCAACCAGAGGCCAACCAACTCAAAAGACGGACGAATAAAAGTTCGAACACTTATTAGTTGACTGACCCAAATGGTAGACAAATCAGAAAATTGAATAACTCTAAAGTAGCTGAACAAGAAAAAACAACCCAGAAATCGCTGAGTCACGAGTTTATCAACTCGGGAATTGTTCAGGAAGGAATCGATTGGTCGAATTTTGAAACATGGAGGGTGACTGCACAACAGAGAGCCAATTGATAGGTAGTCGGTCTATTAAAAATCAATAAGGGTGAAATTGTCATTTCACAGTATCTTTTAGACCCCTATATAAATATAAGAATGTTAAATGAAAAAATAACTATGGGAATTATAGACAAAAATTCTAAATTCCTTAAACATTTTACATTTTCTCTCTCTCTCTCTCTCTCCTTTTACGCTTTATTCTTTGGGTGTGATTTACGAATAAATTTGGGATCAACATCTTAAACAGTGTTGTGAGCATAACATTATGCCACAAATAAGAATAGAAGTAACTCAAGGAGAATAAATCCAATGTTCGGAAACCATAAACAACATGGACTGCACTTGAGAGTTCGTAAAACAACAAATTAACGTGCTTAAAGACCAAGTGATGGAAGCCATCAAAGGCGCGCTAACCAGAAAGTTCCCCACTGTCATAACTAATAACATCCCATCTGTTGTGGGGATGGAGCTTAATTGTCTTGGAGCAGCATTGGAAGGGACTGAAGTCTAGCGCCAGCAGCGGAAGTCCTGTGCCAAACCAGGCACCTCAAAGCCTGTGGGCACCCCAGAGCCCTGTTCCTAACGGGAGTCCAGCAAGTACCCGCTTTAGTGACAAGAACTCTGCAGAACAAAGCACTTAGAATTCCAGTGCCTAGTAGGGGCACAACTGCACTGTGGAACGCTTGTTTGCTTGTTCGGAAATAGAGACGCCAGAAGCTTGGTGCTCTGGACGGGAGATCCAACGCCCAGTAGAATGAATGCAGATAGAGTGCATGGAAAAACAGTGCTCAAGAGTGGCGCCCCAGCGCCATGAGCAGTTTCTCTTTCGGGATTCATGTTCTCAACTTATATACCAGGAAGTTAGGTAACTCTCAGCACTGTGTGAAACAAGAGCTGGACAGTGCAGGTGGTGCAACGAGTTCCATGTTAGATTTTTGTGGATTACTCTTGTGTGATCGATAGAGAAGTGTTCGTGAGTTCCAGGCTTGTGAAGGGAAACTGTGAGCGATATAATCTGCAACTTTTCTCCTCATTTCATAGTGAAATTTTGGTGTGGTATAGATTTGTGGTTTTTCTTATTTTCAATTTTTTCACATTAAATCTGTGTTTTCTGGATTTCTTATTTGTGTTTTTTTTGTTCAATTGTTTTGTTTCAGATCTCTCCAATCTGTGTTTTTCAAGATATGATTTAGTTGTGAATTGATTGAATCCCATTTTTACATTCCAATAAGTAGTAACAAAGAGGGTTATTCTGAAGATCTTTGATTTGAGTGGGAGCAGTGGTTGATGAAGTGAGGTATAAGGTGAAGGAGTTCAATGGTTCGAACTTTCCTTTGTGAAAACTACAAGTTGAAGTTTTGTTATATATAAAAAAAATTATATTTGCCTTTAGAAGGTATCACCAAAAAATCTGAATCGATAACTCTGGAAGAAAGGGAATTACTTGATCGAGCAATCCTAAATTTAATCTGTCTTTAACTTTTCTCGTCTTTTGCTTTCAATATAACTAATGATAAAACTACAGCGGATCTCATGGCAACATTGATAACTCTGGAAGAAAGGGAATTACTTGATCGAGCAATCTTAAATTTAATCCGTCCTTAACTTTTCTTGTCTTTTGCTTTCAATATAACTAATGATAAAACTACAGCGGATCTCATGGCAACATTGACGATGATGTATGAGAAGCTTTTAACTTCAAATAAACTTTTTGTTTATGAAGAAATTCTTCAGCATGAAAATGGTATAAGAGAGTTCGGTAGCTGAATATTTGAATAATTTCAAAATTGTGACAAACTAATTGTGTTCTATGGGCATTTAGTTTGATGCTGAGATTAGAAGACTATTAATTCTATCTTTATTGCCTAACAAGGGAGATTGACTAGTTATGGCAGTGAGTAACTCTTCAAGTAGGATGAACTTAAACTTTGATTACATCATTACATTAGTGCTGAATGAAGAAGTTCGCAAGAATGCGAGCTGCAAAACTTCAAATTCTGCATTGAAAGTTGAAAACAGAGAAATGAATCTTGGTAAGAATACAAGATGAGATAGATTTAATAGGAAAGAAACGTCCAGGTTAGGAAAAGAAAATAATAGAGATGAATGCTAGAATTGCGGTAAGAAAGATCATTTCAAAAAGGATTATAAAGCTCCGAAGAAGATTGGCGATGGAAGTCAAGACAAAAATTTCTATAAATATCTCCACGGGCAAAATCCAATGTGATTCCCTAGTTTTGGATCTTGGATAATAGATTTTTTTATGCATGTCCCAACAAATAGGTGTTTAAAAACTACACTCAGAGTGATCTAGGGAATGTGTATTTAAGAGATAAAGTCTTGCAGTATTGTAATAAAGGATGATGTTGATATTAAATTGTTAAATTGAACAGTCTAGAAACTCAGTGAAGCTAGACATGCTTCAAGTTAGAATAGAAATTAGATCTCGGTGAGCCAGCTTGAAAGGTTCAGAAATTTGACTATTTTTACAAGTGATTCGTGAAAGGTGACTGAAGGCAATGGTGTTGGCTCAAATCAATATTGAAAGCACTCTTTATCTAATCAATGAGATGACAGAATCTATTGATGTGGATGGAACAATGGTTGATGTGTGTCTTTGGCACCGCATACTTGGTTATATGAGTGAGAATGTAAAAAGTCCCTACTTTTAAAAACAAGCTTCTTAGTATAAAATCTATAGATTTTCATTTCTGTGAGGACCATGCATATGACAAACAAAAGAAAATTTCTTTCTTCAAAGGTTGGTCAATTATGAAATTCAAGAAATTGGAGTTAGTGCATACTGATGTATGACGTCCTAATCTAGTTCAGTTCATTTAGGATTCTCAATATTTTGTCACTTTCATTGATGATCGCTCTAGAAAATTATGAGTTTATTTCTTAAAATAGAAATCTGATGTATTTGGGGTGTTAAAAAGTGGAAGACAATGGTGGAAAATAAGACAGACTTGTTGAAGTGTCTCAAATTAGATAATAATAGCGAGTATCATGATCAGATGTTTAAGAGTAATTGAGCTTCAGAAGGGATCAAAAATGAGTTCACTTTTTTAAAAACATCATAGCAGAATTTTGCTGCTAAGAGCATGAATAAGATCCAACAATTTGCATATAATTTTGATTAACTATAATTAAGAGTTCATTATAATGTAGACATTGTTGACTCTATCTTAATTATAGATGATCGAGTTTAACAATTTAGAGTTATGATTATACTTGTAGAAATCATGTTAAAAGATTATATTTTTATTCTTTTAATTAAAAAATGTTAAATTTTAATGATGGTCGTGTTGAAAAAGAATCTCAATTGAATGGGTCTATTTTTAAAATTCAAAACTTTCAAATTTCGTATACCGACATTTTAAATGCAAAACCCCAATGATGATCTCGTTGTTGTAAAATCTCAGTCGGAGGTTTTATTTTTTAAAATGCATCAAATTCTAATATAAATCTTTTTGTGCTCAAATTAGGATAAAATGTAAAATGGTAAGAAAAATATAAAAGTCAAAATATTCAAATTAAATATATCATTTAAAAAGGAAAAAACATATTTCATCCACCCTCCACATTAATCTCTTGACAATTTTATAATTAATTGAGGCTCATAAATAGTGAATTTCATATCAAATATATAAAAAAAGTTCTATATTCACACTTTAAATAATATACACTAACAAGAATGTGGCTCGAGCCCTTTGCTAGCATAGTTTGACCCAATGGTTTGACAAATATATTGGTTACGATTAGAGCCACCTAGTTTAGTGGTTAACTAGATAGTTTGACCTATAATCCCACTATATTATAGTCATGATTAAAAAACATTTGTTCTTCAATGGCTTCATATCCTTTGAATTATAAATGATATGATACATTTTGTTGGGCATCAAGCCCTCTTTTAGCTCAGATTGATTTGGATTTATCCATTTAGGCAAACATTCACCTTTAATCTACAAGATGCCTATAAATTAAGCAACTCATGACTGTTGATAAAGATCTTTTTATCAAATTGGGTCGATCATATCTTCTCTGAGTAAACAGACCAGAGTTCATGACAACTCGAGATAATGTAACCATGAGATTTTGATTTGGATTGTCATCATTTGCCCATTGTCCGTTCTAAGCTTACCATGATAAATTTCACAATCTAAAAATGATAATTGCTACTATTATATGTTGGAAATTTAGTGTCGAATGACTAATCTTAGTTGAAAGTGCTCTTTAATTATTGAGAGTGGTAATTAACCACAAGGACTGGTGCTTATGAAAAATCTCAAATCTCAGATCTTTAGTAATTTTTCACTTTAAATGCATGTATCTCTTTTGAAGAAATTTGAGGTGGCATGCTAGCAAACACATGCATCTCTCTTTATGTATCTCTTTTGAAGCTTTGTACAAATTTGATCTTGCTATTGTCATGAACGTAGGTGAATATCATAAAATCATATAAATTTATTTCTTGAGTTTGAGATCTTTGATGTTTATTCTCTCATTCTTATTTAAATTTTATTCAAAATGTTCTCATTTTTCTAATAGAAGGTTCAGGCGTAGCTGCATGGTTGTGTAGGAGAGTGGGAAAATGGGGGGAGGGCAAGGGGAGTACTCCTGTGTAAGAGGAGTTGCAATGTAATAAGATAGAGGAAGAGGGCGAGAGTAGACATCATTACTCATTGCCTATGAGTGGGCACAGAGTATGTGGAGAAACAGCATGGTCTAGGCCATGCATGAGGGGAAGGAAAGACTTTTTAACGAGAGCGAGAAAAATGTGAGGGAGCCAGAATGAATTGGCAGAGCAGATGGGCTGGCTTTTGCATGGGTTTGGTTTTTTTTTTAATTTTTTTTACTTTTTCAGTTTTAGCTTCGCAAAAACAATTTTTTGAACTTGCTTGGTCCCCAAAAATTTTGTATGTTATGTGGAAGCATTCTTAGCCCAGAAGGAAGGAACCTTGGCTTGTTTCGATGATATTATGGGGGTACCATGAGAACATAAAGATAACTCTTCTAGGCTCTCACATTTAGATACAATTTCTACAAACTAAAATTCTGGAAATGCTATCCTAATTATTCTAAAATCAACTTTGATACATGAAACTAGATTTTACCTTAATAGATTATCTATGCATTTAAAAAAGAATCTGCAGGAACTTTTGCGTCTACAAAATATAATAAACCAAACCAAAAGGTTTCATCTCCTGCTATTGCTCTTATAAGATTGTAATAGCTGGGTAGTAACTTAGGATAATTAGACTATTCATTTGGCTTCTGATCACAAAGTGACTGATCTTCAAGTTGGTTCTACTAAAATTTGTTTTGGTCTATAATCCAATTTCAGTTTCCATAAAATATACCGTTGTAGTCACCTAAATGTTTTTATATATATCTCCATCTAATTAATTCCAATAGTTCATGCATTTATTTTGCAGGCTTTTGACTTATTTGATCTTAAATGCGATGGTGTAATCGATTTTGAGGAGTTTGTTAGATCCCTCAGTGTCTTCCATCCAAACACATCACAAGATGAAAAAATTGCATGTATGGAGTTTTTTTTTCTTGACTTCAGATTGTTATTTTTTGACCCTTGTTCCAATATTTCTCTTCGAAACCACTTCATTCGATTCTGTAAAACATCATGTTTTATTTTTTAAAATTTTTAAACTTCTGCATATACCGTAGTAAAATCCTTCCAACATTTTTTTTTTAAGATGGATGTGACTCCAACAATTTTTAAGTTATTTTGATCGATGAATTACTATCTTTCATCTTCTGCGCTTAGATCATGTTGGTGTGGTTTGTTTTTTATGTAGTTGCTTTCCGATTATATGACTTGAGGAGCACTGGTTTTATTGAGCGTGAAGAGGTAAATTTTCAATCATTTTGTTATTTCTAAGAATCAATACTTTACCGTAATTTTGTTCATAGACTTGAAGTCTTTATAATAAACATCCATTTAATGCTAAATCTTTGGCATTTCACTGGTTATTTTTTGATTATTTGGTCATTCAAGTAGAATAATCTTTTGGCATTTCACTGTTTTGACAGTTAAAGGAGTTGGTTCTTGCTTTTTTAAATGAATCAAATTTGTATCTTTCTGATGATATTGTTGATACAATTGTTGATCAGGTCAGAAAGATTACTTTTTTTTTCTTTTTAAGTTGTTTTTTTATCACCTTATTTTTTTTATTTATATAATCATATGCATCTTTATAAATGTTCTCATATTTATTTTCTTTAATAGACGTTCAAGCTGGTAGATGCTAACTCTGATGGAAAGATAGATCCCATTGAATGGAAGGAATTTGTACTTAAAAATCCATCTCTTCTCAAGAATATGACTCTTCCATATTTGAAGTAAGCTGCCTTCATGTACTACTCAAGTTGGTGATCTGTTTAATTTGCTTTTTTACCGAATAACAGCTCATGACTAGCTCTTAAGAACAACTTGTTTTATTGGCTAGATATTGCATTTAAAAGCATGATTTTACATATTCAGTAATGAGTTTTTTTTACTAATTTGTCGCTTTAAATGCATGTGTTTGCTAGCATGCCACCTCAAATTTTTTTATTATAGATTTAACTATTAATCTATTAAATCTTACAAAGATTAAGTTCTAAATGAGAAAATTCACCTTAATTATGCCACAACCCAGTTTGAATAAAATCATCAAAGATCAACCCAGCCTATGAGCATAATCGAGCTAAGCCAGTTTGGTTCAACTTGAACTTTCAGGCTAAAGATTCTGTCTAAACTCGACTATTGATTAGATCAAGTTAATAATCTATATTTATGCCGACTATGCTGATAGAATATGTTTTCATAGCTATTTATGCAAGCTCGATGCTATCTCACTCATTCCAATGTGTCTTACATATTTTTTGTTTGGGAAAAGCATTCTTCTGAGAGCAATGATGATTACGAGCATGGAAAAATAATTTGCAAGAAGAATGCCATACAAAATATGAGATTTTACACGATTCGCTAACCTATGTTTAAGATTGCATAGAAAGATAAATGTCCGCTTCCAATAGTCACATCTTTTTTTTATCTCACTATTATATCACATCTCTTTCTCAACCTCTTGCTTATTCTTTCTTCAAACTGGTGTATGTATCCTACACTTTTTATGCTCATTGGATATAGATAGAGCAACTAACTCCTATTTTGTCCAATTTCACTTGTTACTAGCATTTGTGGCAGTTGTTAATTTTCTTTTGAGAGGGCCTCCAACTTCCAATAGTCACATTTATCAAGCAGAGGTGACAATGTAGAGTATAAGTATCAAAGATTAACACAATGTAAGTACAAATATCAAAGATTCACACAGAGAGAGGTGCATGATTCTTGTTCAATGCTCGATGAAATGGCCAAGAGAAGATATTCATCTGGGCTCAAAATGGGTGCTGAAGAGTTTTTAGAGTAGCTTGGTCTAGTGACATACACCCACAGTGTGATTATCAAGTCAGATTTGTTCAGAGACTGAATACAAGAAGAC